TGCGCCACCACGCCCGGCTCGTTTTCTCTGTATGTTTTTAGCTGGCCAATTAATTTCTATTTCTATTTTTAATAGAAATAAAATAAAATAAAACAAAACGAAATCACTATCGCCCCGTCGTCGTCGTCTATCATTAACACACACAAAAAAAAAAAAACAGGAGAGGCCGGGCGCGGTGGCTCATGCCTGTCATCCCGTCACTCTGGGAGGCCGAGGCGGGGGCGGACCGCTCGAGGTCAGGAGTTCGAAACCAGCCTGAGCTAGACCCCGTCTCTACCAAAAAAATAGAAATAAATTGACTGACCAACTGAAAAAAAAATAATATATATATACAAAAAAATCAGCCGGGCGTGGTGGTGGCCCACGCCTGTAGTCCCAGCTACTCGGGAGGGAGGGAGGCCGAGGCGGGAGGCTCGCTCGAGCCCAGGAGGTTGAGGCTGCTGTGAGCGAGGCTGACGCCACGGCACTCACTCTGGCCTGGGCGACAAAGCGAGACTCTGTCTCAAAAAAAAAAAAAAAAAAAAAAACCCAGGAAGGGCCGGGGGGTGGCGGGTGCGGGTCGCAGGTCGCAGGTCGCGGGTCGCGGGTCCCGGCCGGGCGGGGACTGACCTCTTGAGCAGGACCAGGATGCTGGGCAGCATCTCCTCGTTCTGGGCTCCAAACTTAGCCAGGGCACTCACGGCGCCTGCGTGAAGGAAGGACAACGGGACTCTCACCCGGGACTCTCACCCCGGGCCTCCCCCACCCGGACCTCGCCTCCCCCACCCGGACCTCGCAATGTTTCTCGAACTTCCGGCCCCACCCTCAGAACCCCCGGGGGCACAAGAGAGACCCAGGAAGGAGGCCCCAAGTCACCACCAAGGCAGTGTGAGTGCCTTTGAGAGGACCCTGGCCTCCTCTTGGGCCTCCACTTCTTCATGCACTCAGTGGAAACAGAGGCCGGGTGGGGCTGTGGCTCCCGAGCTGGGCTCCCAGGAGCGATTTTCTTTCTCTTTTGTGTTTGTTTGTTTGTTTTTTGAGACAGAGAGTCACTCTGTCACCCCCTTGGCGTCAGCCTCGTGGGCATGCCTGTATGCCCAGGTACCTGGGAGGCGAGGCAGAAGTCACATCGCACCCAGAGCTTGGAGGTTGCCGTGAGCTAGTGCTGACGCCAGCGGGTCAACGTCACTGCACAGTAGCCTGATGGCAACAAAGGAGACTCTGTCTCAAAAG